ATATCATTTAAAGAGAACCAATTTCAATCTCAGCTGTGCTGGAAAGGGCAGCTCCCTTGGGATTGTGGGGCTTGTTTTTTTTGCTAAGCACAGATTGATCTCTGGCATGTCCACCAGGCAGGTCAGCGGCCTAATTTCTTACTTGGTTCAGCCCAAGCTCTTTTTCAGGAAAACTAACTCTGGGCTTTAACCTAAAAACTCCATGGAAATTAACTTAACTTTAAACTCCATTTAGGAAAGGTCAGAAATAGCTCAACTTTCTATCTTCACTCTTAAGTAAAATTGTGTAGTGCTTCTTGCAATAAAGCATTAATAAATTTGTTGTGACCAGAGAATGAAGGCTCAGAGTTCTGCAAAATTAGATTTCTGAGGAAAACCGTGGCTTGAGCTTTCTAGTTTCCAAGAGATGGTCCCTAATGACCTAAAGGCACTAGAAATCCCACACAGACCTACAATGCCTTCCCATTGACCTCAGAAGGAAAGCCAAACTTCTTAAGAGGACTTAGATGGTCCTTCCTGACATGAGCCCTCACTTGAACCACATCTACCTCATTCATCACTGTTATCACTGGCACCCAGCACAGTGCCAGGTGCTTAATAAAGGCAAGAAGACATAGGAGCTCTGCTCCTCCCCACTCCACTGTCCTTCCCATCTCTTAGGCTTCTCTTGCAAGTGGAAATTTTAAAAAAACACTTGGAAATCCTCAGGAAAAAAGTGTGCTTGGCCTACAGAGGAGAAACTGAGATTTCACTCTGATCCACAGTAGGCTGGGGAAAGTTGGTGAGACTAGAGACATGGTACAAACCAGAGGTGGTGTGACGACAACAAAAGATATAGCCAATCCCGGGTTGGCTTCCTCTGTGGAAAGGCAGGATGCACAGGGAGCCAGGGAATGCAGCCAGGTTGGGATGACTTCTAGGGGACTGTTGTAGGCTGGCACTTCCTGGCCTCATACCAAGTCCCTCACCCCTTGACCCCTACACCATCAGCTAGGGCCCTATCCAAATAGGGCCACCCCAATTTGTCTTGCACATTCTACAAATGTGCAGGAGAACTGTTCTCAATACCCTAATTTGGATGCACTTATTAGAATAACAATATCAAAAGGGCCCTTATTTTTTGCCAGATAATTTGCTGTTACATACACCTCAACAAATTCTCACAGTAACCTTATGTGACAGGTACCATCACTGGGTTGAATTAGTTTAACTGTAACCATTCTCTACCTAGTAACCAGAAAGAGCTTGATGAAATACAAATAAATGAGATCATAACCAATTCCTTCTAAAAACTGTCTAATGGCTCTTTTCATTACCCTCCAAGTAACATCCAAGTTCCCTGTTGTGGTTTGCAAGGCCTGTGTGTCCTGCTCCTGCCCATCTTCCTCCCCTCCTCATTCCACCCTCTCCCTTGTTCACTGTGCTCCAGCTCCACAGCATTTTCTCTTTCTCAAACTCCCTTCCTCAAGGGAGCTGGAAAGGTAGATGGGGCTCATCTTGCCACAGCCTTGAGTTATCTATAGTGATCTCAGAACAGCTAAAATAAGGAATAAGACTTTAAAAGCAGTGTGTTGGGGTGGGATATCTGAGGGTTATCTGGAGGGAGGTCAGACTAGAGCAAGAAGAGCAATCCTGAAGCAGGACTTTGAGACCCTTGATTGAAACTCAATACCCCTGAAAGGCATGATATATTCCTGGTAGTAAAGGGGGCTCACTACAGTCGTGAGTAAAAGATGTGAGGACAAGAAGCTGAGACCGAGACGGGATTGAAAACTGCACAAAACAACAAAAAACCCAGGCAAGCTGCTCTCACAGATACAATTTTTTATGGCAAAAGAACGTTACCTCCTACTGATTCTTTAGTGCTTAGGCCTAAGGTACTATGGATTCAGCAGTAAGCAAGAAAGCCAGCCCAGCAACCTCATATCTGGAGAGGCTGAGCACCCGGTCAGAAATCACACAGCTAGGTAACAATTGATAGACAGCCCACACCCATTTTTGAAGGTCCAAACAGTCCTTGAGATGACTATCAAGGTAATGTGATTATGGAGAATAGAGAACAGAGTTGAGGGCAAGAGGCATCTGAGTTCCTGGGACACAAAATCCAACCATCATGGCATAGGCAGATGTCATTTCCTTCCTAAATCCACCTGGTATATGGTTATTTGCTCTTCTACAAAATGACATGCCCCAGGAGCCTATGAGAGCTCCAGTAGTTCTGGACTTCAGCTGCTGTCACAGAAGCCACAACAGTAGTGCTGTAGTGTAACCACAGGTTACAGGTACTTTCAACTGACAAACACCGGAAGAGGAAAAAGTGACTATCAGTGGGAAATCAACTGACCTGATGCTTTGCAGTTCCTCCTGCACTACCATGGCGCACAGTGGTGGGCTGGTCAGCTCAGGAGAGCTTACTGTGTGCATCTCTTCTCAACTCCACCTTCAGTAACATCACATTAGTAGTGTGAAATCCACCATACTTGCACACACAAAATGGCAAATGCTACAGGTTAAACATTCACCAAGCTATCACTGGCTATAGGTGACCATACTATGTGTGTTTGTGATTTTGGTTGTCGGCGAACAGAAACAGAGCCTGTGCTCTTAATTCTTTGTATAAGAAATGGCATTGCATCCTGCAGAAATAAGTATCACTCTCTGAAAGAAATATTTTACATTTTCCATAGTGCTTCAAGTTCTCAGTTTCTGATTTGTTTTCTGAATAAAATCATGGTCGGCATAGGCTCTGGATCTCATCAATTTCTTCATTTTTAAATTAATAATTAACTTATTAACTTAAAGATAAATTAATCTCTCTTTTCTAGCATTCTTTTCAATATACAGTATGTTGAAACATACAAGTGTCACCCACCTTTTTCTTTTGATTTTTTAAGATGACCCTCTTGACCTTACACTGTCCTTCCCTTCAGAGACAAGCTTTTTCAAATGTGCTAATATCCTCCAGCTCCACTTCAGCTTCCACTCACTCCTCGCCACATCATTCGAATAGCTCTCAGGTGACAGATGGAAGAGGAACCAAATCAACTGGCACCTCAGCTCTTCCTTTGACACAGTAGCACTCCCTTCTCTGTCACCCCCTTGGCAATCTGTGGCACCATTCCCTATGGTTTGCCTTCTACCTCTATGCCTGCTCCTGCTCCCAAATTTCTTCTGTCCCTAAATATTTATGTAAATGTACAGAAGACCCAACCATCAACTGTAGATACTTCTGGGGAGTCAAGGGGTGTTGGTGTATGAAGGACAATACCCAGCTTTTACTCTGTAAAACTGACAAGTTGTTTGAATGTCCCATAAAAATATACTGATATATTACCTATATAATTTTTCAAGAACTAAGTAATCAGCAAAATTTCATTCTGCTCTATAAAACAACTCTCATGGTCAATTATCAACATCAGCCTATAGGCTTTAGCTACCATCTGCATGCTGACATCTCCCAATTCTGCTCTAGCCTAGGCGACTCTAATGATGTGAATACCCAGCAGACTATAAGCCATCTCCACCTGAATCTTCCACACACCCCTCACCTCTCCAGTGCCCCCTCCCCACTGAGGCAGGGTGCCCTCAGCATGCAGACACAAATTGAATGTCTGAGACATCCTAGACTTTTCCTTAAACCCTATACCTAGTCAGTCATGCTGATCCTATATTCAAATTCCCCTGAAATCTATTCATCCCTCTTGATCCTCAAAGCTATTTTTTAAATTCAGGCCTTCACTTCTCACCTAAGAACAAATATCTAATTGGTCTCCTTGAGTGTAATTTTCCTTTCCCCCTAATTAATCCCCCAACTACAACTAGAAAAATCTTACTAAAATACAAATTGAAATATATCACCCTTCCAACTAACCCCTCTCCCCAAATCCCTAATCACCATATTAAAATCTGCAACTGGTCATCACAGCATTGACGATAAAACCCCAACATAATGTAGTCATTTGTGATTTTCCCCAATAGCAGTTCCCATATTCCAGTCATGTTAAAAGACTTAAGTTCCCCAGAATGTATCCCAATTTCACTCATTTGTCAAAGGTCACTTTTGCCAAGTAACTTTCTTGGAATGGCACTTTCTTCCTGAAGGCTGGGCATGCATGCCCTTTCCATGTTTTCTATGGCACTTACCTAATTATGGCACTTTCATGATTACGGTTGACCAAGAGTCAACTTGTCAGTTTACTACAAGATGAAAAGCAAAATGTCTCTCTCATTTCTGTACCTGTACTGCCTGACACTCAGGGGAACTGAATAAATATTCATACAATCTGTCTTGGAAGGGATCTCAGAATTAATTCCAGTTCTTCCCCCATCCCTTCACTGAATATCTGGTATCCTCTGTAACCACACTGCTATGTGAATTTCCAGCTTCATAAAAACCTCCTGTGATGAAGAAATCACTTATTAAACACCAACACCAACAAGGCCTCATGCAGGACATCGTATACAGAATTCCACTGGAAGGAGCTCATGGCGCAGTATGTTCCTTGACACCTTCTCTGACAAGAAGACCAAGCCCCTGCTGTTGCCATGGCTGAAAGTTGCTGACTTCCAGATTGTCACAGGTCTCAGAAACACCTAGCAGAAGGAACACTGGTGAAATGACTGCTAGAACTGAACATGGGAAGAGCCCTGTACCCAGCAGAGAGGAGACATGCTGGCCTAAAGTTAATGCCCAGGAGTTAACTGACACCTAAAGTGGATAAATTCAACCAAAAAGGGAAGCAAAGTCCACTAAGACTTAAATCCTAACCAGGTGAAATTCTATCAGTGTTAATTATAAACACTTAATCTTTTAGAAAATAACTGAAAACAATAAAATTGGAACATTTTCAAACAGTTAACACAGTTGGGATCTCCCCAGAACTCTTTTTGCTCTAACTTGTGTCTTCGATGTTTAAGCTTCAGAATCACCACAATGTCAAAAAAGAGAAGCCTAATGGCATCATTTTGCCCTAACTCTAGGGCAGTCTAAGAAAAAGAAGTGATTTAAATAAATTATTTTATTGAAGGAGATAAGTTACTCAAATGTTAACTGCTTGTAGACAAAAGGAAGAAATATTGTAGAAGTCAGGTTTGTTGGTAGACAAAAGACAGTACTCAAGGCTCTGCCCCCAAACTATCCGGAATCCAGGGTTTTCATATTTTTTCACGGTTCAATTTCTCATGGGTCACTTTTCATTCAAAAGATTCTGGAGACCAAATAAGATAGGATTCTTTCGGCTATCAACCAAGAGTCTTTAGGTCTTCCCTCAGCAAAGGCATCCAGTTAAAACAGAATTTATTTTTCAGATTCCTCTGGAGGATTAAAAAGTCTCTTTCTCATCACATCGCCATGCTCCCTGCTCTTGGTCCTCTTTTCCATGTACTAGAAAATAGAAGAAAGGGGGGAGAGAAGAAACAACAGATTATGTCACCATTTATATTAAATATTTAGAAATATTTGCAAATAAAAATGTTTTTACTGATATCATTTTTACTCGTCTTTTATTTCTCCAAATCTGAGACTGAAAACAGACCTTAGAGGATATCTAGTACAATTTCATTCAATACAGTACAGCACCTACATCCTAATAGGTGCACACACATTTGCTGAATTAATTTCCTCCCAGAATATGAATTCAATAAATATTTACATGGATGAGTTCTGTCACTCTTCTGCAGGAGCTCAGTCTAGAAAATCCTCTAACCTTTGCTGAACACTTCTAGTTATGAGGGGCTCACTATCTTGAGAAGTAGCCTGTTTGATTGTTGGACAGTTCTACTTATTCCAAAATTCTTATGTTGAACCAAAAAGTATTTCCCTATAAGCTATCCTATTGCCCTCTATTTCTTCTTGCCTGCTATACTCTTCAAATATCTGATTACAGATAACCCACTCATTACCTCTTCTTCAGGCTGAACATCACTGGTTTCTACAAGTGTTCCACATGGCTTCTGTCTTCTAATATCTATAAAATGACTAATATTTTATAATGCACTTTAACATCAATACCCCTTATCAAAAATATTACAACCAGAATTAAATACAGTGTTCTAGACATAGTGACAGACACAGACTACAGTGGGCCTAGTTCTTATGACCTAGTCACATTATATTTCTATAAATATTATCAAAAGAGTAAATGGCTCTTAGTAACCATATTATCCTATTGACTCATATGAAAATTTATAGTCACCTGAACTTCCCAGGATTTTTTTCATCGTGAACAGTCATCAATCCTGATTTTCCCCAAATCCTATGTTTTTGTAATCAGCTGGATTTAAATGTGGTTTTCACCTTCGAGGTTTTCATTCTAGTATTCTGATCTGACCAGCAGGTTATAAATAACTGCAAATAGAGATCTTGGCGCTTAGAAAAAGCACTTGGATTTTCTCAAACAAATGGTTATTAACCTATGCTTAAAGCAGAGAAACTTGGGCTGGCCTGGTGGCGCACTGCTACAGTGCGCCGCTTGGAAGCGCGGCGGCGCTCCCGCCGAGGGTTCAGATCCCACATACAGACCGGTTCCGCTCACTGGCTGAGCGGAGTGCGGGCGCAACGCCGAGGGTTGCGATCCCGTTCCCGGTCCGGTCCGGTCCAGGCGCGACACTGAGGGTTGCAATCCGTTGCCAGACACGAAAAAAGACAAAAAGGAAAAAAAAAAAAAAAAAGCAGAGAAACTTGAATATAAGTGTTTTCTATAGGAACATATTTACATGTTTATATACACCAATACAGACATGTTTTAAAGGTAAATAAATATTTTTCCCCTACACAAAAGGAAAAAAGAGTAAAAGTAAGTTCAAAGCCAGAGATATGGAGAGAGGCCACAAAAATGAAAGATCAGTGATAGAGAGCTAAAGAAAGACTTGACTGGATCCCCTCCCCAATCCCTGAGAGAATAGTATGGAGATTAGTGACTCTGAGTTATTTCACTCTTCTGGGCCAGTAACCTCAAATATGAAGAGTCACTCTAGATGATCTTTAAGAAGTTTTCTAGGTCAAAGATTTCAAATGAAGGATTCTAACATATCTTCTGAATGGTAGTTCTCAAAGTTTTTTTTTCCTCATTGAAAGGCTACTTCAAATTATCGGTGAAACACCAGGTCCCTTCAACCGAAATCACTCCTTTCATTTGTCATACATTAAATTTCCTCTTAAGATTGTTGTGGGGAAAAAAAACAAAACCAAATCACTATTCTAGAACATGGAGAGATACTTGTTCCAAGAAAAAGATTTGATATCTATCTTTAATCATGTATAATGAACGACCCCCAGAAATCAGCTTGGGATGAGGGTCCTATGGGTAAGTCTTCAGAAAATAATACTTTGTAGCAGATTGTAGGGAAAATATAGGAAAATGGTCCGGGCCCCTCAGATGTTCAGAATCTTGCCAAGCATTTGACGTAAATATGCATGTGGGCCCAGGTGCTCCTTGGCTATTGCGTGATGTAGATGCGCATAGGCACCCAGGTGTCCTGGGTTATGGACTTAAGTATAAAAGACAAGTGACTCTGATCCACGAGGCACCCCGCCCCTGGGATGCCCCCAGGGAGACGGCTACTGCTGCTGAAGGCTGCTGTAAGTTGCTGCTGCTGTTGCTGACTGAGCTTGTGTCATCGGCCAATGGCTCCTGGGATATTTCCCAATTTCCTAGCATGGACCTGTGTGTGAAGAGTCTGGTGACCCAGCCTGGCATGTGAGAGGTCTGGTGACCCAGTCTGTACAACGGGTTTGAAGGATCTGAGCCCTAGCTCTGCCAATACAAATGGAAACTTAGTATAACTAAAATAATGAAACATTTTGGCTTTAGTTATGAAATGCCTAGCCATACAATTAGCGTAGAGCTACTGCCTCAACCCAACAACTGGTGTAGTCATGTAGCTTTACACAGACCAATAAGACAAGTTAAAGAGCAAATTAAATTAGTCTATATTGAAACATATCTAAGACATCTCCAAAGGGAGTCAAGATGGTTCCAGAATAAAAAAGGGGAAAAAAGGATGTAGATGAAGTTACTCAAAAAACTCCACCAAGGAATTCTGGTCAAGATGGCAGAACAGACGGTCCCCAGCGTCACTCTCTCCTACAAATCAACCAATTTACAACTATAAAAATGTAACAACAGCCAAGCTGGGGCCACTGGAGCTCAGGGGAAGAGGAAGACAGACCTATGGCGTTCATGAAGGGGGAGAAGCCACAATGAGAGAAAGAAAAACTGCTCAGAGCATTTTGGGCCACAGCCTCTTTAAGGCTGGAACTGCTGAGCACATGGAGCAGGAGCCAGCAGAAGCCACAGCTGTGCCGTTTGGATGGAGCTGCTAGGAGGCAGCAGGGGAGAAGAGGACCTTGGTGGCCCCCAGGACAGCCACACCACTAATTGAGTTCCCGTGGACCCACGCACGAGCGAGGAGCCAGAACAGCTGAAACAGGGGAGCCATTCAGAGGCCAGTGAGTCATCGCAAGGGACCAGCATAGGGCCCATCCCATGGGAAGTGTTTGGAGTACGGGCAGTGCGGGAGACAGGCCCACAAGGAGAACACTGGGACACAGCAAGGACAGCCAATCAACCCCCCACAATCAGTGCAGGACCACTCAGATGAGACTGGTCAGAAATGCAGAATTGCATGGGGTGCAGTTTGTTGAACAGATTCAGGCCCAGATCAGAGTTTCTACACAACCCAGGAACACCGGGTCTCTGGATAGCCAGAAGTACCTATAAGGTCAGCCATTAAACCCTGAGCTGCACGAAAAGTGTTCCCTAGGGAAACAGCAGCAAAGCAGCAATTTAGCTCAACCACACAGCTCAAGTACTGGTTCCCACAGGAAGTTCCCCCATTTTAGAAGTAAGCAAAGGACAAACAGTTCTGGCCCAGGCACACCACCAGTGCCTTGGGGCCCACCAGCATACCTGAGGCATGGAAAGAGGGATCAGACCCCACTCCCAAATCCAGGCACATGGCCAGTGCCTTGGGGCCTCACTGGGGCAGGGACCAGACCCCCGCCCACAACCAGACACACCACCAGTGCCAAGGAGCATGCCAAAAACATCACCTCCATGGGGGTGGCTCACCACAGCACCACAGTAACCACGGCTGCTGTGAAAGTGACTAGACATCACAACCACCATGCAGATGGTCTGCCAGCCATTGGAGTGCACTGACACAGGAGAATCACCAGTAGAGACCAAAGAAAAGAAGAGGATGTCTCTCTCCACAAAGCCCATTCCAGAGT